GCAGGATGAGCAGGAGATCAGCAGGAAGAGAGGGGAAGTGGTGTCAGGCAGAAGAAACAGCATAAGCAAAAGTGCCAGGGCCCTCGATGAGAGGAGGATGGAGGGAGGAATGCAGGGAGGAACACGCAGGACTGGAACATGAAGGGGCTTGACTGACCACTGCCTCCCTTGGCCCACAGGCTACCTCATCATCCACGTGGTGCAGAGCCTGTGTGGCCTGGCCATCATGTATGGCCTGGTGTTGCCCATCATCCACAAGCAGGGCCTGGAGATGCTCCGAGGACTGGGCATCGGGACGTAAGCGCTGGGGCTTTCTGTCATTACCCAGGGCCTGGGGGCTGGTGGGCTCTTGCAGCTGCTCTCCAAAATGCCCCTTCCCTGTGGGCTGTCACCAACCTGTGGCCCCATGCTCTCAACTCTGATGCAGGGATGAACCATCATAGCAACTCACAGGGGTGGGAGCCTTACAGTTTACAAAATGGTTCCACTCTCACTGTTGAATGGAGTCCTCACAATTGTGTGTGTGTGTGGCGGGGGCGGGGGGGGGTGGATACAAGTATGTCCATTTTATAGCTGGGAAGATTGAGGTTCAGAGAGGTCGAGTGAGAGACAAGACAGTATAGTGGAAGGAGAGAGGGAATCTGAGCTTAGGTTTTAGATCACCTGTGTGACTTTGGGTAAGTTGCTTCTCTGAGCCTCAGTTAACCCATATGGAAGATAAAGGTGAATGCTGACATTACTGAGAATTTACTATGCGTCTTTTCTCTTAAGAAACCTTTGAGGTTGGGGCTTACGTTAGCCCCATTTTTTCAGATGAGGAAACAGAGGCACAGAGAGGCTAAGCAATTTGTCCAAGGACGGGGAGGAGGCAGGATTGGGAGCTAGGCAATGGAAACCAAAGCCTCATTTAACCCCACCCCACATTGGTGCTCGGAGGATGCAAAGACGGGATGTGGTACTGTCTGGGGACCTCCCTGCTCTGAGCTCCTTGGTTCCATCCTCCTCTAGAGCTCCCTGTGAGTCTGAGGCAGAGCCTGCCCTGTCCACTGTCCCATGGCTTTTGTGAGCTCTTCTAAAAACTCCATTCCTTTCTTGGATTCCCATGCTGTGAAACCACTCATCCCAGCTGCCCCCTCTGGACAAAAGGACATCAATTAAATCCTGGAGTTCTGCTCTGGAGCCAGAAGACCTGACTCTGTAGCTTTGGGAAAATCATCTCCCCTTTGTGAGCCTCAATTTTCATATCTGCACAATGGGCATGAAAATGCTCTGTAGGCAGAAAGCATAAAGCTCATGCTACTGTTGGTGTGGCGGGCTGTCAGCATCTCTCTCTTTATCACCCGGCATTCAAGAAGGGCTTGGGAAGAGTGGACAAGCCCACCTCAGGATGGTCTCACCCTATGTTTCAGCATCACCATAGCCATCATCCTGGGTCTCATGATCCTGCAGGTATGGATCGCTGCCAGCTTTTTCCTGCAACCAAAGATGGGCACAGCCGACAAGCAGAAGCCCTTGGCTCTCAACAACAGGTGAGGGCAGAGAAGGGAATGGGCACTGCAGGGCTTTGGCTTCAGCAGTCTCTCGTGCCTTCCTCTCCACCCGTGGCAGGGTCCTGGGCGGACTCGGCACTCTCTGAGAAGGTGAGGGGCAGTGTCAGGAGTGGGCGCTAGAGCCAAACTGCCTGGCTCCAAGTCCTGGCTCCATCCTTTATGAGCTATGTGACCTTGTGTGACCTTACTAAACATCTATGAACCTCAGCTTCCTCATTTTACAAATAATTGTGCATACCTCCATGAGGTGTTCAGAGGATGAAATGTTAAGATACGAATTTAGAACAATAGTGCTGGCCCATGGTAATCCTTTCCAATTCATTCATTCAAAGCCGTTCACTAGTGAAGGAAACAACATGGGCATTGAGGATACAGAGATATCCCTACATCACCTGCCTGTGAGGAGCTCACAGTCCACTGGAGCTGACAGACACAGACACACAGGGACAGTAGACTCCAGAGGGTATGGAAGAATTACTAGAGAAACATGAATAATGGAGGAGGAGAGGCAGGAGTGTTAACCCAAGTGCAGGTGGGTCATTTGAGCTGAGATGGGTAGGATGGACGGATTCCTGCAGGCAGAGATGAGGAGAGGGCATGGCTGGCAGCCCCCACTGCATGAATGTGGGCAGGAAGCCATGAAAGGGCAGGACATGTTGGGAGGAGAATGAGAATCCAATATGGTGGCCGTGCAGTGGCCTTAGATGGTGAGGGGCAGGGAGTGGGCACAAAGTGACAATGCCAGAAAGGCCCCTCTCAGAGAGGGCCCAGAAATTCAGTATGCAGAGTTGGGGCTTTATCCCAGAGGCAACAGGAAACCACGTGATCAGGTGGTCATGTGGGAAGTTTCATCTGGAGGACTGGGAGCAGTTCCAGCTGGGGGGAGGTCACTGTCACAACAGACAGTGGGAAAGCCACAACCTCTGCTAGAACCACAAAACCAGCTGTAGCCACATGAGATTTCTTATCATACAGGAAAGCTCAAAACCCAAGGATTCCATGAAACTTGACAGTTCTCAGTAACATCTGTCCAGCACTGGCTCAGTGCCCCTACACTGCTTCTGAGCCAGTCCTCACAGTAGTGCTGTGAGGTGGGGACAGTCAGCTCCTGCTTACAGCACGAGGTCACACAGCTAGGAGACAGGAGATGTAGGATTTGACACAGGTCTGGGGGGCCCCTAGCCCGCCTGCCTAGCCACCTTCTCATACTGAAAGGGTGCTGCCCTCTGCCTGCTTCCGTTTGTAGGAAAGCGTTCCACAACTTCAACTACTTTCTGTTCTTCTACAACGTGCTGCTGGGCCTGGGTGCCTGCCTCTCCAGGCTGCTCATCAGCTGCATCCTGGGCACGTGGCTGATCGCCCGCATCGACAGGACCATCGTGCAGAGTGGCTATGAGGGAGCAGACATGGGTAAGTGGCCAGCCCCCGAGGGCCATGCATCTGGGGAGGGCTGGCCTTGCACCTTTGTAGAAGCTGCCTGGAGGTCGGGTATCAGAGGCCCACAGGTCACACTCTTCACTTATATTTAGAGCTTGTCTTCCCACGGAGGCTATGAAGCTGAGTAGGAAAAACACACTCATTCAGAAGCGAATTCAGGCTATTATCAACACCTCACATTTGACAGACCTTTGAGGTATCATGGAGGGCAGTGAGAGGTAGCGGAATTCTATCCAAACAGAAGGTAACGTATGAATGCACAGCTCTAAAATTTCTGAGAAAGAACACATCTCAGAATTACTGGTATTCTTAGTTGGAAACAAACTTAGTTAAGAAAACGGTCTGTTCGGTTGCAATACTCAAAAATCAGCCACTTCTGTGGAGCAGAAATGGTTTTTGTTCTGTTTCTGGCCCGTGTCCATTCACTCACTCATCCATTCATTATATGACCGATGCCTTCTCCTATTAGCCACAGAGGCTCCTGGCCCCTTTGAGCTTCAAATTCCCCATGGAATGGATAGATTAGGATGTGATCTCGAAGAACTCTTCCAGCTCTTTCTACCTTATTTTCTAGATTCTCAGCAAAGACACGGGCACCATTTAGGAACAAAGTGATGCTGCAGTTATGTTATAAAAAGCAAGAACTGGGCCATCCTGGGCTGTACTGCCTGGCCTGACTTGTCTTCTGGCTTTCAGGGTACAGTGCATGGATTGGCATGCTCTATGTGGATCATTATCATACCAACCCTGTGCTTGTCAGCTTTTGCCACATCCTGATCACAGGCCACAGGGAGAGGAGGCTGCAGCAGGCCATCAAATACTGGTACCTAAATCAGTCAGCAGGTAAGTCTCCTGTCTGAATCTACACTGGGGTTGGATGAGAGGAAAAAGTACCCTAAGCCTTGTCTGGGATTCCTGAGATGTCCCAGGTTACCCTTCCCCACCCCCCTTCCTCCACACTCCATGCCCTGGGAAACCTTCTACCCAGGAGATCAGGAGGCTTACCCCCCAGTCAGCCTGGCTATGGGACCCCTGAGGCCTTGTGTCCTTGTCTTTCTGACTGGGTTCCTCCCTTTTTCTGGGAAATGAGCTCTAGTTCTGCTAGCTGAGTCCTTCATTCCCCCATTTGAGACCCCACCCATATCCCAGGATGCAGGCCAGATGCCCTCCAAGATAGCACTCAGTTTTGCTCACCACAAGCTCTCCCGGCCACCAACTCCTGCCCCCTCAAGGCTCTAGTGTCTCCTCCCACCCCTGTTATTCTGCTCTGCCTTCT